GGGTCCTCAAATACACCCCCCCCATTCTACCCCATTCCTGGGCTCTGGGGGGCTTCTGCCCCACCGTTTCTTCCAAGGGGACCCCACCCCCAGCCTCTCGGCTTGCCGCTTTCCGAGGTTGCACCCCAAAAGATGCTCTGGGTGGACGTGAGTTACAGGTTGCCCTCGACTTACAACAGTCCCTTTAGTGACCGTCGTTCAAAGTTACAACGCCACTGGAAAAAAAATGTGACTTATGACCGTGGTTCACACTTAAACGACCGTCGCAGTCTCCCCCCAAGGTCACGTGATCAAAATTCGGACGCTGGGTGGCCGACTCCTGTTTACGACGGCCGCAGCGTCCCCCGGGGGTGTCACGTGATCCCCTTTTGCGACCTTCTGACAAGCAAAGTCAAGGGGGGGGGAGCCGTATTCGCTTAACGGCCGTGTTGCTAACTGATCAACTGCAGCGATTCACTTAAGAACGGGGGGGGGAAAGCGAAGTCGTAAAGAGGGGCAAAGCTCACTGAACGGCAGAAAGGTTGAACCCCCGTTGTCCTCTGGAAGGGTTTCCCCTCTTTATGACTTCGCTTCCCCCCCCCCCCCGTTCTTAAGCTGGCCTGCTAAAGACGGCGCATGGCTCCTGGACTCCGCTCTTGGCCTTGTTGACGTTGAGTTTGTGTGTTGTTGTTTTTGCGTCAGGTGAAGTGGACTCCCCCAAGAAGGAAATGAAGGAAGAGGAGGAAGAAGAAGGAGAGGAGGAGGAGGAGGAGGAGGAGGAGAAGGAGGAGCAGAAGGAAGACGGGGAGGAGAAGGACATGGAGGAAGAGGAGGACGAGGCCAAAGAAGAACCCAAGAGCTTGGGCTCCTTGGAGGATGGGAAAACGTCGGATCAAGATTTGGAGCACCACCTCCAGGTTCAGCTCCTGCAGCTTCTGGATGAGCTGGAAGAAACCCGGGGGATGGTCCTCAAACATGAAGAAGACGCGTTGGAGTTGCAAGGTAAGGTCTGACTGGGTCACGGAGGTGGACAGTTCTGGAGCTCTGGAGCCGCTTCCTTCCAGCTCTGGCTTTTTTTTCTTGGCCAGCTCTTCTTGGTTAACAGCAACGATGATGGTCCATTGTCCTCTCAACAGTGTTGGGTGGCAACCTTGGTTGGGTGAGAGGTGATGGTGATCTCCAGTTGGAGAGAAAGCCCTTGGACACCAGGGAGATCTCTGGTTAAGATTGTGGCTCGGTGGATTTCATAAACCCAGAGAAAGGATTCTTCTTCTTCTTCTTCTTCTTCTTCTTCTTCTTCTTCTTCTTCTTCTTCTTCTTCTTCTTCTTCTTCTTCTTCTTCTTCTTCTTCTTCTTCTTCTTCTTCTTCTTCTTCTTCTTCTTCTTCTTCTTCTTCTTCTTCTTCTTCTTCTTCTTCTTCTTCTTCTTCTTCTTCTTCTTCTTCTTCTTCTTCTTCTTC